TGGATATCTTGTGGACAGTTGTGTCCATATATTTCAAGCAAAGTGTCTACCATTTAAATGCAAACAACAATAGTGTGAATCGTATGGTATTGTCAACACTATTGCTGTCATGTGTAGTGTTGAGTACACTATACGGCGGATGTGTTTATTCAATAATTNTTGTCAACACTATTGCTGTCATGTGTAGTGTTGAGTACACTATACGGCGGATGTGTTTATTCAATAATTGCCAGCAATAGTGGGCATTGGATTCACACCATTGAACACTTGGCTGACGCTCAGGAATCTGGGTATTTGCAGATACTATCTCCTAAATCAAATTATAATTTGTTAATCCAGGTACAGTTAACTTGGGTGAAATAAGATTTAAAAAATGATTCATTTGTATAATTAATAAAATTTATATTAATTAATTTATTTATTGAAAATTTTAGAGTAAAGAATCGGTATATTATTCTAGAATTGGGCGCCATATTAAACATGGTGCAATATTAGATTTGATTGAAAAATTAAATAACCATGATCAGATTTATTCGGTTATTGCCACCAGAAATGTGTTAACATTTTTCCTGCATTACTATCGCATACGACGGCAAACATTACCTAAACTATCGATTGACACACAATTCGCCACATATTTAATATCCATTGGTTTACAAAAACATTCAATATATTCACACGAGTTAAACAAATTGTAAATATATTTATTAACTAAACTTTATCTAATAATGTTTAACTATTATTAACAAATTGTTTTCTGTTTTACCTAGTTTATTCAATATAATAAAATCTGGCCTAATAGAACACTGGACTCAGATGCTTTATCTAAAGTTATTTAACTTCGATATTGCTAGCAGTGAACATAACTTACGTACTGTTGTCTCTGACCAGTTTGAAGTGTCCCAGCTCACTTTATCTGATATATACATATTAATTAAAAAATTAATTAAGTTATACATAATTTCAATAATAGTTTTATTTTGCGAGTTTGTATTTAATTTTGGTACTTTTTTTTTATAAATTTCTTTATATTTTATAATTACAGTATATTTTAAATATCGCTCATCATTATTTATTTTATAATATAGTAACTTATTCTTAAAACCGTCATACATGTTATTACACCAAGACAATTAAATGTACAGGTTGCTTTTACGATTGTAATGTTATGTGCGTTTACTTGCTATTGTATTTAAATTTATTAGCTTTGTTAACCCTTAAAGCTTAAACTTAAATAATAACGTTGTAAATAAACTGGGATTGTAATCTCCCAGCAGTTAGTTCATAAACTGGGAGATTAATATCCCACGCTTTAGTGCTGTTTATGCTGGGAGATTATTCTCCCAGTTTATGCAGTTTACTGCTGGGAGATAAATCTCCCAGTTTATGCATTAAGTGAAGATAAAAATTAGCACTATTTATACTGCGTGAAAAAAGTTACATTGCGCATAAACTGGGAAAATAATATCCCATGAGATTACTATCCCACGCTTTAGTGCTGTTTATGCTGGGAGATTATTCTCCCAGTTTATGCAGTTTACTGCTGGGAGATACATCTCCCAGTTTATGCATTAAGTGCAGATAAAAATTAGCACTACTTATACTGCGTGAAAAAAGTTACATTGCGCATAAACTGGGAAAATAATATCCCAAACGTTAATTTAACCGCGATTTAACCATGATAATTAAATTTTATAATAATATAACTTTACATATTTATAAACCTAACTATTTGTGAGGCATTACTGAATTTGTTTCTGGCTAGCACTCTTCGTTGATTTTTAATTGAAATTCAAAGTGCAAATGGGAGACTAATCTCCCAGTTTAAGCTTCTAGGGTTAACAATAAAAATTACATCTACTATATTTTATCTGATTGAGTACATTTATTACAATATTTGAATTAATATTTTACATTATTCTTATGTTAGAAAGTTTGTTGTGTAAAAATATAAATAAATTACACTTTTGACAGATAAATCCAATATTGATGGCTATATTTGAATAATATTCAACACATATTGTTAAACTCAAAGTCAGCATAGTTTGTAGATAGTTAAATTGATTAAACTGAGTAAATAAATTGATTATACTACTATAAAGTGAACTTCCCAACAAATAAACTCAACGCAAAATTATAAATTAAATTTTGTTAATAAATATATAGTTTATGTAAATAAAATTAATAATATTAAGTGTTGTTTAATATAATTAAATTATGTTTACCACTACATACTAAACTATAAATATTTACATTTTATTATTGAAATAAAGTTTTTATAAACTTTATATAAACTTTTGCTAGTACCGTACAAAAGGAAATAATAAATATATGTTTTAAAATTGTTATGTTAATAATTTTTATCTTTAATATACATCTGTATACTTCATTAGTGTGTTAAAACATCATCAAAAATCTAGTTCTTAATCTGAAAACATGTTTAATTTAATGGGAAAGTGCCTGAAAATAGCCATAACAAGGGTATTCTTATAGAGTATAGTATAAAAGTTTACCTTAAGTTATTATCACAATTTATTTTATTAGGCGAGACCGTATGTATTTGTAACAATAAATCCAGAGGAGAAATATACCAAGCTATTTGGTGGTATTGAAGCTAGTTTGCTACTTACATTAAAAAATAAGTGGAATTTTACCATGATCTTAATTAATACATACGAGCATTGGGGTAATAAAATGGTCAATGGTACATTTGATGGCATTGTTGGCTTATTGCAATCAAAAGCAAGTATATTTTAAAATGATTAAATATTGTGCATTAATGATTAAAATTTTTATAGATAGCTGATGTAGGTATAGGACATTTGGACCATACATTGGATAGAAGGATAGCCGTGGACTTGAGTTACCCACACATAATAGATGTAATCACATTTACATCTCCCACACCAACACTAATCCATTTCATAAGTCTATTCAAACCGTTTGACACAAACATATGGATTACATGTCTTATTACGATTTTTATGGTTTCTGTTGTATTAAAATTTAATGCAATTTGTAAACCAATTGTGGATATCTTGTGGACAGTTGTGTCCATATATTTCAAACAAAGTATCCGTCCGTTAAATGCAAACAACAATAGTGTTAATCGTATGGTATTGTCAACACTATTGCTGTCATGTGTAGTGTTGAGTACACTATACGGCGGATGTGTTTATTCAATAATTGCCAGCAATAGTGGGCATTGGATTCACACCATTTTAATATGTATATATCAAACAAACTGAGCTGGGCCATTTCAATTTGATCTGAAGCTATTGTCCGAAAGTTATATTCACTTTTATTCAATAATTGCCAGCAATAGTGGGCATTGGATTCACACCATTGAACACTTGGCTGACGCCCAGGCGTCACACTATTTGCAGATACTATCCCCTAAATCACATTATATCTCATCAATGGAGGTAATATTAATTATGCTTATTGCTAATAAAAACAATGTGAACATTTTATATCCATAGTATACTTTAACGTAACTAAATAATTTTATATTATTATTAATTATTGTATATATTATATGTTTAACCGACAGCTAAATAAATAATTTTACGACCAATAAAAATTACTAACAATGTATTACATTTTTATTTAGACCAAGGAATCAGTATATTATACAAGGATTGGTCAATATATTAAACACAATGAACTTAAAATTTTAATTCAAATGTTAAATCACAATAATTGTATTTATTCGGTAATTTCATCGAGAACTATACTGCTATTTTTCATGCATTACTATCGCATACGAAAGCATACATTACCTAAGCTATCGATTGACACACAATTCTCCGCATATTTAATATCCATTGGTTTACAAAAGCATTCAATATATACACACGAGTTAAACAAATTGTAACTACAATTATTATAACATGAATTATGAATTTGTAATTAAATTTATTTTAATCTTTATTTACAAAGTTTATCTAACATTAAAAAAGCGGGCTTACTACAACACTGGACCCAGATGGTTTATCTAAATGTATTCAACGTGGATATTGATAAAAGTGAATATAACTTTCGGACAATAGCTTCAGATCAAATTGAAATGGCCCAGCTCAGTTTGTTTGATATATACATATTAATTCGAAAATTATTGATGTTATATATATTTTCAATAATTGTTTTATTTGGCGAGTTTGCATTCAACTTTGCCGACAAACAATAAATTCTAAGTGAAATTTCTTATAATTTAAATGTTATAAATTTATAATTCATTGTAAATTTAACGTGCAATATTAATAATCCTACTTTTGGGAGGGGTTAACTATTTCGTGATATATTTCTGAAATAATATAGATGTAAGTTACCTTGCCCAGTTATACCTATTTTTATTAATTTTCAATTATGATATTGTTAATTAATTTTAATCATCATCACTAACCAGATTTGATTTTATTAAATAATTCTAGCCTAATCAATTTGCTACAATATGTTTTATATATGTTCTATTAAAAAACTCATCACACAATTATATAAATGTAAATAGTATTTTTCAATATCAATTAAATAAAATAAGTATTTAATTTAATAATTATCTTAATAATTAACTTTATTGATTAAAATAGCGATAAAATTAATTATGCACATTTCAAAACGTTTTATAAATTCTATTTAAAAAGCTACTGTGAATTGACTATTAACTTATATAATAAAGAATTGTAAAGGGTATACAATTATAAAAGCTTGTAAAAGGTACATAATTATACTACATGTATTTTAATCTATTTAATAATTACTAAAACTCAAATAATCATAATAAACTAAGAATCTATTATATTAGCTGTCAATATAATTAATTTATTATCATGAACAACTGTACTTCCTTATAATGTTTTAAAAATTAATTAAAGTGTTACCAATTATTCAAAACAAGTAAAACATTATAAAATAACTATTGTACGGTAGGAAAAATACTTTTATCAGATAGATTGACAATGATGAACTTTATGGGCGCAAATTTAAGGGTGGCAACAATAATGGTAGTTAATATTATGTAATATAGTTTATTAAATATAATTGCAAATTATATTTTATATAACAGGCTAGACCATTTATATTTACTGGACAACATTTAAGTAATAACACCGTCAAAATATTACATGGTATTGAAGCTAGCTTATTGGCTTTATTGAGTAGCAAGTGGAATTTTACTTACACACCAATTGAGTATCTAGATCATTTTGGTAAGAAATTGGCAAATGGTTGCTATGACGGCATTGTAGGCGCTCTACAGTCTAATGTAAGTCTCTCTACGGTTTAGTAAATTATTGTATATACTGTATATAAGTGTTTTATAGCAAGCTGATTTAGGTATTGGTTATTTATCACATACGCTGGACAGAAGTGTAGTGATTGATTTGAGTTACCCACACATAATAGATGTAATCACATTCACATCTCCCACACCAACACTAATCCATTTCATAAGTCTTTTCAAACCGTTTGACACAAACACATGGATCGCGTGGTTTGTAATGATTTTTATGGTATCCGTTGTATTAAAAATTATAACAAAATATAAGCCATTTGTGGATATTTTGTGGACAGTTATGCAGATATTTATCCGGCAAAGTGTGCCTCAAATAAATCTTAACAACAATAATGTTAATCGTATGGTATTGTCAACACTATTGCTGTCATGTGTAGTGTTGAGTACACTATACGGCGGATGTGTTTATTCAATAATTGCCAGCAATAGTGGGCATTGGATTCACACCATTGAACACTTGGCCACCGCTCAGGAATCACACTATTTGCAGACTCTGTCATCTCCTCTGCAGAGCTATATATCGTTACTTAAGGTATATTAAGTTACAAATTAATTTATAATTTAGCTTATAATTTAATATTTAAACACTTTTTTATTATAAAATAATACAAAGTAAAACAACCTTTAAAAAATTATCAAATACTAACTTTTTATATAAAAATATTTGTCTTGTATGAATATTATAACATTTGCTTATTACGAACTGAGCTGTTTAATTAAAAGTTTACTTTTATATATAATTAAATTAAACTAAATATTTACTACAAATTAGTCTAAAGAATCGGTATATTACAAGCAAATCGGTTTACATATTCAGCCCGACAAACTAAGGCACTCTATGAAAAAATTAAATGACCATGATCGTATTTATTCGGTTATCGCCAGTCGGGAAATGCTACTATTTTTCCTGCATTACTATCGCATACGACGGCAAACATTACCTAAACTATCGATTGACACACAATTCACAACAGAATTAATATCTATTGGTTTACAAAAGCATTCAAAATATACACACGAGTTAAACAAATTGTAAATAAGTTAATTAAGCAAATTAGTTTAACTATACTGTATCTAATTAAATATGTTTATTATTAATTAGCTTATCAAATATAATAAAGTCTGGACTGATACAACATTGGACTCGGAAGCTCTATGTAAATTTATTTAACTTGGATATTGATCATAGTGAATATAACTCACCAGTTGCCACTACCAATAATAAACAAATTGAAATGTCCCAGCTAGTTTTACAAGATTTGTCTGTATTATTTAGAAAATTATTTGTATTCTACATATTGTCAGTTATTGTCTTTATTAATGAATTTATATTTGACAAGGTGATTACATTGATGTGGTAGTAGCAAGATAATTAATTGTCATAAGTAAATTAAAAGTGTATAATTTTAAACTGAAAATTTCATAGCTAATTAACATGAAATATCTATCAACATAAATATTATTTTAAATGTTAAGTGAACTAAAACTAAAATTTATATAATTAAAACAGACAAAAACAATGTTGCTGTTAAACATTATAATTTTGATCATTTAATGCTTTTAAAGTATTTTTTGACGCAATTGTAATTAATATATTATGTTTTAACTTGTGGTAATAAATTATAATTGTTATATTAATTAGTATGCATGTAATGTACAATGTTTATAGTATCAAAATAAATGCAAAATCAATAATTTACTAATAAATATTTAATTTAATTATTTTATGAATAATAATTATATCTATGTGTAGTGTAATAGTGTACTTAACACATTGTATTGCGAACAAAAATGTACCGTAACTTTTTAATTAAAAATATAATTATTCAAATATTTAATGACCTACAATATATAAAATACAATTAAACTGAATAAATTAATATAATACTGTATATTAATAAATATTAATAATAACATACAGAAATATTGATTATATAAATTTAATGTTTTTGTAGATTGTAACATGTAAAAATGCAGATTCAATTACACTGCATACTCTAAGACACTTACACTGTACACCATAAGTCATAACCATGAAGATATTCTGAATAAACTATTATAAAAGTATGCAATTACAATAAAAGTATTTTAATCTACTTAATTGTTTATGAAATATATTAATAAAATTCAAATAAACATTTAACAAATCTATTATGTATGTAAGATGACAATTAATTTATTTAGAATATTCAAAACAGATAAATAACTAATAAAAATATCTAGTTACAATAATATTTCAAGTATTACAAAAATGGTTAACCTTTTGGGAATAAATTTGAATGTGGCAACAACAACGGGGTATTTACAGACATTGACATCCCCTCGACAAAACTATATATCACAATTTAAGGTATTATTAAACAATACTCTAATATTTGAATATTTTTAAAATCAGAAGTAAACAACGTTTAAGTAACTTTTCAAATACTTACTTAAATCCAATATTTACCTTCTAGTAATTTTATAATTATCTACCTTGATCGTAACTGTTTAATTAGAAACAAACTCTACTACTTTTTCTACAAATAAAAGTAATTTATCTAAATTTTACTACACATTAGTCTAAAGAGTCGGTATATTATACGCGAATCGGACGACATATACAACCGATTAGATTAAGAAAATCAATGCAAAAATTAAATGACCATGATCGTATTTATTCGGTAATTGACTGTAGGGAGTCGTTGTTATTTTTCCTGCATTACTATCGCATACGACGGCAAACATTACCTAAACTATCGATTGACACACAATTTGCCACATATTTAATATCCATTGGTTTACAAAAGCATTCAATATATACACACGAGTTAAACAAATTGTAATAAATTTATTTTGACAAACTTGTTTAAATGTTTAATAAAACTTGCCTACTTATTTAGTTTATCAGGTTTAATAAAATCTGGATTGATGCAACATTGGACTCGAATGCTCTACATAAAGTTATTTAAAAGGGATATTGATCATAGTGAATTTAGCACCAATGTCGATTCTGGCAAGCATTTTAAAGCATCCCAGATAGTTATACAAGATTTGTCTCTGTTATTTAAAAAATTGTTTCTATTTAACACATGTTCAGCACTTGTTTTAATTAGTGAATTAATTTTATACAAGTTTATTAGTTATGTGTATTTAAAGATGTTTTTGGTAAAAGTTTGGGAATTTTGGGCACATTTAAGAATTTCGCTAATTATTTAGGCTAAATAACCAGTCTAAATTAACTATATTTATATAACACATATTTACTAAACAAATCACTAATTTGTGTAATTTAAACTAAATTAACGACTGTTATTAAAATATACACATTATTTGGTGTAAATTGATTGTTATTTTTTGTATATTTTAAGTAAAGTAGTTACAGAATTTATAACAGAATTTTTACCAAATTAAAAATATTTTAAACCAAAATACTTTTTGTTATTATTTTATACTAAAAGTGCGTTAATTAGTGTGTTGTATCATGTTAGTTTATATTTCACTACATTAAAAGTATATAGTTGAAAACATAAGAAGATTTTACATAAGTTTTAGCTCAAAATTTTTAATGAAATAAAATTTTCATTGATTATTTTATTCCTATGGAATACTAGTGTATACAAGCAATAAATTATTTCTTTTAATTGTATAACAAAAATACAATTGTTAAATGTCTAAAGTCTTCATAAAACATATTATGATTACAACAAATAAATGTCATTTGTAAATGACTAAACTAGATGTATCGATATTTTTGAAATTAAATTAACGATAATAGAATATTATTATAATATTAATTAAAAAACTAGTTTACTAGAAATCTTAATTTTTTCTCGTTGAATTAATAAAATTAACATTAAATAAAATAAATTAAATGACAAATTAATTATAATAATCTATCATAAAAACTTTTAAATTAATAAAATACATTAAGTTTGAAGTCAATAAAAACTATTGAGCTAACATGTTAATGTAAATGTTAGTTGTTAGAAAAGAATATTTTATAGAAAAATAAATAAACTTGTTTATTTAATTACAAAAGCTTAGAATAAAATGCAAGTAGCAAATAGCATTTAAAATAAACTACATAAATAAATAAAAATAGTATTTATAAAATTATTAAATAAAGGATCATGTTGGATTTAAATGGCAAACGTTTGACAGTTGCAACAACTATGGTAACTTTAAATTGATCTTATAACATTTGACATTTATAGATTTTTTGGTCATGTTAATCATTAAAACAATAGGCTGAGCCGTATATATTTTCGAGAAATGACCTAGCTGACAATGAAATATGAAACTTGAATATGAATAATCATTAATAAAATATATCAAATACTCACCATCATTAATATTTATGTCATTAAAAAGTTGTCAAAAAATATCAAACAGAATGAATAAATATTTAATTATAATGACCCGAAGACATTAGCCCGAGTAAAAGGGCATATAATTCCATACAAACTTTGTAAACATAAGGCCTTTTCAATTGCCTACCATTGCGTGTATTGTTTACAGGCTCTGCAGAGATGGCATCGATCCGAGTCAATGCGAGAGAGAGAGAGAGA